AGAGGCGGAACCAGACCTTAAATTTTTAGGGGGCAAACTTATACACTTCGTTAGACTTATACACTTCGTATGATATGTCGAAAGTCCAACGGGCAGTGCTTCCTGGCAGGATTCGACCGACTGATGATTAGGACAAAAAGGGGGCAATTAAATTAGCTTAATCGATCTCGTATATATTTTTTATTAGATTCAAATGAACTCATTTGTAATGAGAAGATCTAAAAGGATTGGGATGATGATTAGAGCCCTATTATTCATTTGATTCTTCATAGCATCTATCCAACCTAGCAAGCTGCATTGGTCTATGAGGAAAGCAATAAACAGCTCAACTCATTTTGGAAAAACTTAAAAATTAAAAAATGTTAAAAAAAAATAAACTAATTGTTTTTTATCTTTTAAATTTTCTATTTTTATTTTCATTTATTATAAATATATATATAATTTTTAAATATAACTATATAAAATGTTATTTTTATAATTATGAAACTAGTACTAAAAAATTAAAAATCTGAAATAAATTTGCATATTTAATAAAGTACATTAAATTTTAATTTATTTAATTTGCTAAAAAATAATAATACACTAATTCTAAATAATTAATCTATAATATAATTTACTAAAATATAATTTAGTAAATTTAATTTTCATTTTTCTTCTATTTTCAATAGGACGAATTCTTTGAAAAGAAATAACTTGCACAGTTGCTTTTGAAAACTAAATACGACTTCTCCTCAAGCCAGGTTAACTGGACAACGTACAACCTCAGCAACGCCCGCCAGCAAGCAACACCACCAGCTAGTAGAGCTAAGATAAGCTCTGCGAGCACGAAAATTCAGATCAACGGTATAGTAACAACCAGGTGCCTCCTTATAACCATCAAAAGAATTTTTATTGGATCTTTTCCTTTTTTCATCCGTATTTGTATAATTATTATACTGTATTCCTATTAATAAAATATTGACTCTTTCAAAAGGGTTTTAACTAATAATGGATATTCTCAAGTCACATGATCCTCCTCGATTAGATACCTTGTTTGTTTAATTAATATTTACTTTGGATACGTGCTTATGTATGGATTTTTAAGCAACAAATCTATAATAATATAACGTAGTTTTCCATCTTCATGTCACTGAAGATTTCGATTCAAATGTCTGCTAAGCATTCTAGAACTGTCAACAATCGATTTTCCCGAGTTGAGTTGTGTATCTCCAATATCTTTAAAATATATAACTGCGATTTCAATTACACACGTATCTGATCTAAAGAAACCCGATCCAATTAAGATAAGAGTATGTTTAAGATGGGAGACAAGATCCCGTTATACTGCGGAGATCCCATGTCATCGATCATCAAACTGAAAACACGTCCTGTCAGCCCAACTCGCTGACACATTATGGAGGATTGGCCATGAGGCAAAGCAAGCGCAGAGGCCAAGCAGGTGAGAGGTGGAAGCGAGGTGAATGATGTGTGTTGCACGTGCGGTTTTGTGGAGCAAATATTATGCATGTTGCGGACATCGAAAAGGGGAGAAACCGTCCAGTCTATAAGCACTGGATATATCCATTTGAACTTTGCTGCTCTTTTCCTGCACAAACAGATTTTTAAGGATGGTGAGGCGACTGCTCCTCTCTTTAATCTCTCTGCTCATCTCTTCCATATCTCTGCCGTCTCTGTATCGGGAACAAATGGAAATGAGGAGGTCTTGATTAAACAGCATTATCAGATAGCGGAACGTCAAATATGTGTTATTGAGTACGAAGAAGTACAACGAGATCTATCATACATGATAGCATTTGAATTTTTCCATCATATTGTCCTTGGTCAATCAAATGATGGAGCTATTAATGATCCTGATGAGAAACCTTCATAAAGTTTCTTATCAATTATACAGCTAATACACACAGTACAATTTTATACTAAAAAAAATATAATATACAGCTAATATATAGTTTTTTGCCCTAATATTTCACATATTAATCTACATGCTTAGTTTCCACACTTCTTTGAGTTGTTTTCTAGTTGGATGTAACGATCTCGATGATTTTTTTTTTTGAACAGGAAGATCACCTACACTGTCCTTCACGGGAAATATGGCTTAGCATTTATATTTTTCTCATCTTGCACTGAAGGAAATTATTGTCCCAAACTTTTGATTTATATGCCATCACATGTCAACATTATAATTTAATTTTTTTTATTTGAATATTAAAGTATAAATTTGATATAAAATAATTATTTACCATTAGTCTTATTATGTAAAAATTAGTGAGAAAACTGAGTTTGAGTGCCTTATAATTGCTGTATTTGGCCAAAACCTTAATTATTTTGTATTGTTAGGAGAAAGAAATGCCTCTATTGAACTTTCAAACAATGGAGTTGCTCAATTTTTCTTCTTCCTTGCATTTTCTCTATCATTGGTGATTCAGAGCTCATTTATGATTGTTTTGTAGCAAAGCCTCATATTAACTATCTCTAGTTTTCAACTATCATATGTTCAAGGTTAGTGGTATTGTTGTTTTGATTATAAAGTATGAAAGTTTTCATCATCCATATATAATAATAGATTATGGTAGGCGAAAGGCTAGATGAGAATCTTAGGTTTAAAAAATGAACTACGTAAAAATTTAGGGGAGTTTTGAACCTTTCTATAAAGATCTAAAATTTATGAAAATAATTTAAAAATGAGAATCTGAAGAAGAAAAAAAATTTGAACTGGAGCATCGTGAACACTGAGGCGCCGGACGATGAAACAGTGGTGCAAAGCTTTTTGTTCTATAATTTCTGGATTCTACATGCAGCGCCGGATGATCCAGCACACAATCATATAAAAAGAGAAGGTGCGTCATTCACTAGAGACACCAAGATTTTTACGTGGAAAATCCTTGAAAAGGGGGAAAACAATGGGGCCTAGCCCAGTTTGAATGAATCCACTATTATTTGCAGTCGATTACAAATGAGCCCCTTCTTTAGGGGGAAGGCCTTGGCTCGATGTACATTATATGAAGTACATGTTGAAATATAAAGAGTCACTATTGACATGTTCTTTTGGTCGAAAAGATTGTAGTCAACGGGCAACAAATGTCGGTAGGACCGTTGTCTAACAACATAAGTCAGAAGGAAGGCGTCATGTAGAAATCTGGGGACGAGCGAAGGTCCGGCGTCGGGTAGAAGTCTGACGTCAGTCTGTGGGTGACGGAGGTCGGTAGAACCATTGTCTGTCGACAGAGGTCAGAAGGAAGGACTAAGGTAGAAATCTGGCGACAAGCGGAGGTCTGGTGTCGGGTAGAAGCCTAACGTCAGTCGGCGGCCGGGGAGAACTCTGGCGTTAGATGGTATTCAAGCAGAACTCCAGAGTTACTTGAAGAACGGATAGAATTTCGGTGTCACTTGGAGATCTGACGGAGTTTCAGTGTCACTTGAAAGTTGGGCGGAACTTTGGCGTCACTTGAAAGTTGGGCAGAACTTCGGCGTCACATAAAAGTCAGGTGGAACTCCGACGTCACTTGAAAGTTGGACGGAATTACAACGTCACCTGAAAGTCGGGCGGAACTCCGGCAGTACTTAAAAGTTGGGCGGAACGCTGGTGTCACTTGAAAGTCCGGCCGAACTTCGGCGGTGGCCGAGGAGGAGTTTCTTCCCTCTTTCTCTTCTTCTCTTGTCCTCCTCTTCCTTCTTTCATGGGTCCCCTCTTAAGAGAAATGAGGCGATATTTATAGTTTTCTGATAGTGACATGACCTGAAAATAAAGGAAGGATCAAGGGCAAATGTAGAGTGGTTTGGATGGATGACCCATATTGAATC